TTTCCAATCTTTGGGATCTTCTGCCTCAGTGACCATTTTACCATCCAGCTTCACAGCTGCTATCTTAAAGGAATCCCCATTAAAACGCAGGTTCTGAGGGACACATCCAGCTCGCTGGTTGCTAAGTCTACATCTTTCCTGCTTACCAACCTACATGGAAGGAATACTTCGCTGGGTTCTGAGGGACACATCCAGCTCGCTGGTTGCTAAGTCTACATCTTTCCTGCTTACCAACCTACATGGAAGGAATACTTCTCTGGGTTCTGAGGGACACATCCAGCTCGCTGGTTGCTAAGTCTACATCTTTCCTGCTTACCAACCTACATGGAAGGAATACTTCGCTGGGTTCTGAGGGACACATCCAGCTCGCTGGTTGCTAAGTCTACATCTTTCCTGCTTACCAACCTACATGGAAGGAATACTTCGCTGGGTTCTGAGGGACACATCCAGCTCGCTGGTTGCTAAGTCTACATCTTTCCTGCTTACCAACCTACATGGAAGGAATACTTCGCTGGGTTCTGAGGGACACATCCAGCTCGCTGGTTGCTAAGTCTACATCTTTCCTGCTTACCAACCTACATGGAAGGAATACTTCGCTGGGTTCTGAGGGACACATCCAGCTCGCTGGTTGCTAAGTCTACATCTTTCCTGCTTACCAACCTACATGGAAGGAATACTTCGCTGGGTTCTGAGGGACACATCCAGCTCGCTGGTTGCTAAGTCTACATCTTTCCTGCTTACCAACCTACATGAAAGGAATACTTCGCTGGGTTCTGAGGGACACATCCAGCTCGCTGGTTGCTAAGTCTACATCTTTCCTGCTTACCAACCTACATGGAAGGAATACTTCGCTGGGTTCTGAGGGACACATCCAGCTCGCTGGTTGCTAAGTCTACATCTTTCCTGCTCACCAACCTACATGGAAGGAATACTTCGCTGGGTTCTGAGGGACACATCCAGCTCGCTGGTTGCTAAGTCTACATCTTTCCTGCTTACCAACCTACATGGAAGGAATACTTCGCTGGGTGCAGGGTGTGAAGTTTACACCCCGGAAAGTCAACTGTGGGATGAATCCTGGCCTTTCAGCAGCTTCATTAGGACCAGCGTTTGGCCATCAACACTATGAAGCGTCTGAGGGTCGAATGCCATTTTTGGTCAAGACTTTTGTGCAGGGTTTGGCTCCCCGTGTTCACTCCTTGTGACCCCGTAGGATCTAAATTTGGTTGTCTTGGCAATTCCAGGCATATTGCCCTTTCTACTGTGATTGCTAAGATGGCCTTTGAGGTGAGGGACCCGAGCTGGAACTCATCTCATCTTTCTCAGCTTACACAAGGACAAGCTGGTGTTGAGGCCCAGAATTTCCTTCCGACCTAAAATAGTTTTGCCTTTCACCTCAGCCAGGACATGGTTCTTCCATGTGTGTGGGCCAGCTCCTCAGAAACCGATTTCAGTCCGTTCCATGGAGGTAGTTCAGGCCGGGAGTTTCTTGCAGCCATGACTTCCTTCAGGAAGAATGATTCTTTCTGGTTTCTGAGGGTTCCTGAGCCAGCTTCCCGAGACGTGGATGATCATCATCAAAGCTTTGGGTTCAGGCCAAGGCATACTCTTCTAGAGATCTGTAAGTGCCTCTTGGGCTTCTCGGCACCGCCTACTCTTTCCAGACTGACACCTGCCCTTCAGTGTAAATGTTCTCCAGGTTTTACCCAACGAACATTTGGGGTCTCATCTGATGCCTGCTTGCGGTGTCCGGGATCGGTCACACTCGCCTGCCGATTCTCTGATGCTTTTTTGAAATTTTAATGAAGCTTGACAAATGGGTTTCCATTAGTTTTGAAAAGGGTTCAGTAGTACCCCCACTTAGTATATCCCCAGCTCAATAGTGCCCTCGTTCAGCAGATCCCCAGCTCAATAGTACCCTCGTTCAGCAGATCCCCAGCTCATTGGTACCCTCATTCAGCAGATCCCCAGCTCAATAGTACTCTCGTTCAGCAGATCCCTAGCTCATTGGTACCCTCGTTCAGCAGATCCCCAGCTCATTGGTACCCTCATTCAGCAGATCCCCAGCTCAATAGTACCCTCGTTCAGCAGATCCCCAGCTCAATAGTACCCTCATTCAACAGATCCCCAGCTCAATAGTACCCTTGTTCAGCATATCCCCAGCTCAATAGTACCCCTGTTCAGCAGATCCCCAGCTCATTGGTACCCTTGTTCAGCATATCCCCAGCTCAATAGTACCCTTGTTCAGCAGATCCCCAGCTCAATAGTATTCTTGTTCAGCAGATCCCCAGCTCAATAGTACCCCTGTTCAGCAGATCCCCAGCTCAATATTACCCTCGTTCAGTAGATCCCCAGCTCAATAGTACCCTCATTCAGTAAATCCCCAGCTCAATAGTACCCTCGTTCAGCAGATCCCCAGCTCAATAGTACCCTCGTTCAGTAGATCCCCAGCTCATTGGTACCCTCGTTCAGTAGATCCCCAGCTCAATAGTACTCCTGTTCAGCATATCCCCAGCTCAATAGTGCCCTCGTTCAGTAGATCCCCAGCTCAATAGTGCCCTGGTTCAGCAGATCCCCAGCTCAATAGTACCCTCGTTCAGCAGATCCCCAACTCAATAGTACCCTCGTTCAGCAGATCCCCAGCTCAATAGTACCCTCGTTCAGCAGATCCCCAGCTCAATAGTACCCTCGTTCAGCAGATCCCCAGCTCAATAATACCCTCTTTCAGCAGATCTGCAGCTTATTGCTACCTTCGTTCAGCAGATCCGCAGCTCAATAGTACCCTTGTTCAGCATATCCCCAGCTCAATAGTACCCCTGTTCAGCAGATCCCCAGCTCAATAGTACCCCTGTTCAGCAGATCCCCAGCTCAATAGTATTCTTGTTCAGCAGATCCCCAGCTCAATAGTACCCCTGCTCAGCAGATCCCCAGAACAATAGTACCCCTGTTCAGCAGACCCCCAGGTCATTGGTACCCTTGTTCAGCAGATCCCCAGCTCAGTAGTACCCTTGTTCAGATCCCAAGAACAATAGTACCCCTGTTCAGCAGATCCCCAACTCATTGGTACCCTCATTCAGCAGACCCCCTGCTCATTGGTACCCTCATTCGGCAGATCCCCACCTCATTGGTGCCCTCATTCAGTAGATCCCCACCTCATTGGTACCCTCGTTCAGCAGATCCCCAACTCATTGGTACCCTTGTTCAGCAGATCCCTAGCTCAATAGTACCCTCGTTCAGCAGATCCCCTGCTCATTGGTACCCTAGTTCAGCAGATCCCCAATTCATTGGTACCCTCGTTCAGCAGATCCCCAGCTCATTGGTACCCTCGTTCAGCAGATCCCCAGCTCATTGGTACCCTCGTTCAGCAGATCCCCAGGTCAATAGTACCCTCTTTCAGCAGATCCCCAGCTCAATAGTACCCTCGTTCAGCAGATCCCCAGGTCAATAGTACCCTCGTTCAGCATATCCCCAGCTCAATAGTACCCCTGTTCAGCAGATCCCCAGCTCAATAGTACCCTCGTTCAGCAGATCCCCAGCTCAATAGTACCCCTGTTCAGCAGATCCCCAGCTCAATAGTACCCCTGTTCAGCAGATCCCCAGAACAATAGTACCCCTGTTCAGCAGACCCCCAGCTCATTAGTACCCTTGTTCAGCAGATCCCCAGCTCAGTAGTACCCTTGTTCAGCAGATCCCCAGCTCAGTAGTACCCTTGTTCAGATCCCAAGAACAATAGTACCCCTGTTCAGCAGATCCCCAACTCATTGTTACCCTCATTCAGCAGACCCCCTGCTCATTGGTACCCTCATTCGGCAGATCCCCACCTCATTGGTGCCCTCATTCAGTAGATCCCCACCTCATTGGTACCCTTGTTCAGCAGATCCCCAACTCATTGGTACCCTTGTTCAGCAGATCCCCAACTCATTGGTACCCTTGTTCAGCAGATCCCCAACTCATTGGTACCCTTGTTCAGCAGATCCCTACCTCAATAGTACCCTCGTTCAGCAGATCCCCAGCTCATTGGTACCCTTGTTCAGCAGATCCCCACCTCATTGGTACCCTTGTTCAGCAGATCCCTACCTCAATAGTACCCTCATTCAGCAGATCCCCACCTCATTGGTACCCTCGTTCAGCAGATCCCCACCTCAATAGTACCCTCGTTCAGCAGATCCCCAACTCATTGGTACCCTTGTTCAGCAGATCCCTACCTCAGTAGTACCCTTGTTCAGCTGATCCCCAACTCATTGGTACCCTTGTTCAGCAGATCCCTACCTCAATAGTACCCTAGTTCAGCAGATCCCCAGCTCATTGGTACCCTAGTTCAGCAGATCCCCAGCTCATTGGTACCCTCGTTCAGTAGATCCCCACCTCATTGGTACCCTCGTTCAGCAGATCCCCACCTCATTGGTACCCTCGTTCAGCAGATCCCCAGCTCATTGGTACCCTCGTTCTGCTAGTTTTTCCACTCCAGTCAGGACCCCGCTCACCTTCCCGCTTCTCCACCCTGCCCACCAGATGTGACGTCTGCACCAGACACCCCCAGAAGATATACACATGGACCGGAAGTGACTGCTGATGACATCTTTCTGCTTTCCCAGTGCTTTCTGGGATATCTCATACCTGCAATAGCTCCAAAGCCAAGCTAAAGCTGAATCAAAGCCCCCCGAAAGCTGCCAGTGCTGTTAGCGAGCGTTGTCCTAGACCTCTGTGGAGGCTTTGGAGATGCTTTGAAGCACCAAGGAAGCAACATGGAGGACGATTCTTGAAGCCAAGCCAACGCAACGTTTATGACCATACTGCTGGTACTGCTTGACTATGAGGCATGCTGGGAGTAGGAGGGGTTATCCTGGGCTGGCCTCCATCTGTTGTGTGTCCAGTCCTCCTGTAGGTGGCAGTATAACCTGACAGTATAGGACTCCATGTGTCCCTGAATGGACGGGTTTCAGGTCTAAGTTCCTCTTCTTCTCCCATCACTCCTCCTCTAATGTTGTCTTTTCCTTCCTCAGTGGCTCAGAAGGTGGTCGCCCTCCGCAAGAAGCAGCAACTTTCCATAGGTCCATGCAAGTCCCTCCCCAACTCCCCCAGCCACTCCTCTGTGTCTGCTGCCACCATTCCATCCATGCACATTAACCAGGTAAGAGGGCGAGGCGGCGGCTGTCGCTGTGTGTGGGGCTCGGCAATCGATTGTCTGGCTGCACAGAACGCCGCATAGGAAGCAGTGAAATCCATTTCCTGTGTTAGAATCATTGGACGGGACTCTCGCTAAGAGCGAGGCGCGTCATACCTGCAGCGGCCTTCATTGTCCCCGCCCCCTCTGCAGCATGTACGGCAGATGGTCCCACCCTTTGTCTGCTTCCCTCCCCCTCATATTGCAGGTTCTTTCTGGCCAATGGGGTTGTGTGGAAGGGGGATGGGCAAGCTCTGCCATTACCAGGCAGATTGTCTGGATATCAGACTGCTGGCTGGGGGGGGGGGGGGGCACCAAGAGCGCTGAGATTGCCGGGAGCGTTGAAATCTCCGAGACAGCTGAGATCGCCGGAGCGCTGAGAGCACTAAAATTGCCGGAGAGCGCTGAGATCGCCGGGAGCGCTGAGATCGCCGGGAGCGCTGAGATTGCCAGGAGCGCTGAGAGCACTAAGATTGCCAGGAGCGCTGAGATCGCCGGAGAGCGCTGAGAGCACTAAAATTGCCGGAGAGCGCTGAGAGCACTAAAATTGTCGGAGAGCGCTGAGATCGCCAGGAGCACTAAGATTGCCGGAGAGCGCTGAGATCGCCGGAGAGCGCTGAGAGCATTAAAATTGCCGGAGAGCGCTGAAATCTCCGAGACATCTGAGGTCGCCGGGAGCGCTGAGAGCACTAAAATTGCCGGAGAGCGCTGAGATTGCCGGGAGCGCTGAGATTGCCAGGAGCGCTGAGAGCACTAAGATTGCTGGGAGCGCTGAGATCGCCGGAGAGCGCTGAGAGCACTGAGATCGCCGGAGAGCACTGAGATCGCCGGAGAGCACTGAGATCTCCGGAGAGCACTGAGATCTCCGGAGAGCACTGAGATCGCCGGAGAGCACTGAGATCGCCGGAGAGCACTAAAATTGCCGGAGAGCGCTGAGATCGCTGGAGAGTGCTGAGAGCACTAAAATTGTCGAGAGCGCTGAGATCGCCGGAGAGCGGAGATCGCCAGGAGCACTAAGATTGCCGGGAGCGCTGAGAGCACTAAAATCGCCGGAGAGCGCTGAGATCGCCGGAGAGCGCTGAGAGCACTAAAATTGCCGGAGAGCACTGAGATCGCCGGAGAGCGCTGAGAGCACTAAAATTGCCGGAGAGCGCTGAGATCACTAAAATTGTCGGAGAGCGCCGGAGAGCGCTGAGATCGCCAGGAGCACTAAGATTGCCGGGAGCGCTGAGAGCACTAAAATTGCCGGAGAGCGCTGAATCGATCGCCGGAGAGCGCTGAGAGCACTAAAATTGCCGGAGAGCGCTGAGATCGCCGGGAGCGCTGAAATCTCCGAGACATCTGAGATCGCCGGGAGCGCTGAGAGCACTAAAATTGCCGGAGAGCGCTGAGATTGCCGGGAGCACTAAAATTGCCGGAGAGCGCTGAGATCGCCGGAGAGCGCTGAGAGCACTAAAATTGCCGGAGAGCGCTGAGATCGCCGGAGAGCGCTGAGAGCACTAAAATTGTCGGAGAGCGCAGAGATCGCCGGAGAGCGCTGAGATCGCCAGGAGCACTAAGATTGCCGGCAGCGCTGAGAGCACTAAAATCGCCGGAGAGCGCTGAGATCGCCGGAGAGCGCTGAGATCGCCGGAGAGCGCTGAGATCGCCGGAGAGCGCTGAGAGCACTAAAATTGCCGGAGAGCGCTGAAATCTCCGAGACATCTGAGATCGCCGGGAGCGCTGAGAGCACTAAAATTGCCGGAGAGCGCTGAGATTGCCGGGAGCGCTGAGAGCACTAAAATTGCCGGAGAGCGCTGAGATTGCCAGGAGCGCTGAGAGCACTAAAATTGGCGGAGAGCGCTGAGATCGCCGGAGAGCGCTGAGATCGCCGGAGAGCGCTGAGATCGCCGGAGAGCGCTGAGATCGCCGGAGAGCGCTGAGATCGCCGGAGAGCGCTGAGAGCACTAAAATTGTCGGAGAGCGCAGAGATCGCCGGACAGCGCTGAGATCGCCAGGAGCACTAAGATTGCCGAGAGCGCTGAGAGCACTAAAATTGCCGCTGCACTGAGAGCACTAAAATTGCCGGAGAGCACTGAGATCGCCGGAGAGCGCTGAGAGCACTAAAATTGCCGGAGAGCACCGAGATCGCCGGAGAGCGCTGAGATTGCCAGGAGCGCTGAGAGCACTAAAATTGCCGGAGAGCGCTGAGATCGCCGAAGAGCGCTGAGAGCACTAAAATTGTCGGAGAGCGCAGAGATCGCCGGAGAGCGCTGAGATCGCCAGGAGCACTAAGATTGCCGGGAGCGCTGAGAGCACTAAAATTGCCGGAGAGCGCTGAGATCGCCGGAGAGCGCTGAGATCGCCGGAGAGCGCTGAGATCGCCGGAGAGCGCTGAGATCGCCGGAGAGCGCTGAGAGCACTAAAATTGCCGGAGAGCGCTGAGATCGCCGAGAGCGCTGAGATCGCCGGAGAGCGCTGAGAGCACTTAAAATTGCCGGAGATTGCTGAGATCGCAGAGATCCTTCACACAGGCCGGAGGACAATTCATTCTATATTGGGTTACAAGATCGCAAGGAGGAGGGGCTTGCAGTGGATTATGGGAACACAGAGGGAGGGCTTACGGTGGGTTATGAGATTTCAAGGAGGAGCTTGCGATGGGTTATGGGATCACAGGGAGGAGGGGCTTGCAGTGGGTTATGAGATCGCAGGGAGGAGGGGCTTGCAGTGGGTTATGAGATCGCAGGGAGGAGGGGCTTGCGGTGGGTTATGGGATTGCAGGGAGGAGGGGCTTGCGGTGGGTTATGAGATCATAGGGAGGAGGGGCTTGCGGTGGGTTATGAGATCATAGGGAGGAGGGGCTTGCGGTGGGTTATGAGATCGCAGGGAGGAGGGGCTTGCGGTGGGTTATGAGACCGCAGGGAGGAGGGGCTTGCGGTGGGTTATGAGACCGCAGGGAGGAGGGGCTTGCGGTGGGTTATGAGACCGCAGGGAGGAGGGGCTTGCGGTGGATTATGAGACCGCAGGGAGGAGGGGCTTGCGGTGGGTTATGAGACCGCAGGGAGGAGGGGCTTGCGGTGGGTTATGAGACCGCAGGGAGGAGGGGCTTGTTTGGCATGGGGGTGTGGTCAGATGTGGCAGATGATGTCAGCACTATGAATACAGTGATAGGGCCTCACCATGTGTGAGGGGCGGGACATGGGAATGGACAACCCCCCCGGAGGAGAGCTGTAAACACGCCCACACCCCTCCCATCCGTCCTCCGGGGGGGGGGCTCTGCGCCATCCATGTATGGGAATGATGGAAGAAGCCATGACAAGCGAGAAATGCCGGAAACCCCGGGGGGGCCCAGCTATATCGGGGTCTCTGCGCTCATCCCGGGGGGGCGTTCTCTATACTGTACATCAGATCTGCATTTCATCGTTTGGGTTCATTTTGTTTTTGTGTGAATAAAGTTTTTAGTGTTTCTCAACCTTTTCCCCAGTCACCAGACCCCCCATGAAGGGTCGGTTCACTGCGTGTCAGGGTGCATGTGCAAAATCACACGTGTTCCCAACACATGAGCAAGCGCACCGCTCTATGGCAGACACACGCGTGTCATTCTTCATGCTTCCTCCATGCGTTCGCAATCTCAGTGCGTCGTATTTGTGGCGATTAAAAAAAAAAAGGGGCGGGGACTAGACCCAGGTCACACCGGAACGCAGTGCAGGGAAAGGGGCGCACCTCTGTACCCCAGTCCCCCTCCACTCCCCCCTGTACCCCAGTCCCCCTCCACTCCCCCCTGTACCCCAATCCCCCTCCACTGACCTCTGTAACCCAATCCCCCTCCACTCCCCCCTGTACCCCAATCCCCCTCCACTGACCCCTGTACCCCAGTCCCCCTCCACTCCCCCCTGTACCCCAATCCCCCTCCACTGACCTCTGTACCCCAGTCCCCCTCCACTCCCCCCTGTACCCCAATCCCCCTCCACTGACCTCTGTACCCCAGTCCCCCTCCACTCCCCCCTGTACCCCAATCCCCCTCCACTGACCTCTGTAACCCAATCCCCCTCCACTCCCCCCTGTACCCCAATCCCCCTCCACTGACCTCTGTACCCCAATCCCCCTCCACTGACCTCTGTACCCCAATCCACCTCCACTGACCCCTGTAACCCAATCCCCCTCCACTGACCCCTGTAACCCAATCCCCCTCCACTGACCCCTGTAACCCAATCCCCCTCCACTCCCCTCTGTCCCCCAATCCTCCACTCCCCTCTGTCCCCCAATCCTCCACTCCCCTCTGTCCCCCAATCCTCCACTCCCCTCTGTCCCCCAATCCTCCACTCCCCTCTGTCCCCCAATCCTCCACTCCCCTCTGTCCCCCAATCCTCCACTCCCCTCTGTCCCCCAATCCTCCACTCCCCTCTGTCCCCCAATCCTCCACTCCCCTCTGTCCCCCAATCCTCCTCCGCTCCCTCTGTACCCCCCAATCCCCTCTGTACCCCAATCATCCACTCCCCTCTGTACCCCAATCATCCAAGCCCCTCTGTACCCCAATCATCCAAGCCCCTCTGTACCCCAATCCACTCCCCTCTGTACCCCAATCCTCCTCCGCTCCCGTCTGTCCCCCCAATCCCCCTCTGTCCCCCAATCCCCCTCTGTCCCCCAATCCCCCTCCGCTCCCCTCTGTACCCCAATCCCCCTCCGCTCCCCTCTGTACCCCAACCCCCCTCCACTCCCCTCTGTTCAGCAGATCCCCAACTAATTTTTACCCTCGTTCAGCAGAACCTTCCATTCCTCCCTTTACCCCAATCCCCCTCCACTGACCTCTGTACCCCAATCCCCCCTCCACTCCCCTCAGTACCCTAACCCCCCCCGTACCCCAACCCCCCTCCACCCCCCTCTGTACCTCAATCCCCCTCCACCCCAATCCCCCTCCACTGACCTCTGTACCCCAATCCCCCTCCACTCCCCTCAGTACCCTAACCCCCCCCGTACCCCAACCCCCC